CAATATTTGTTTTATATAATTGTCTGTTTCAAATATAAGGTTTGTTGTTTTCACAGCGGTGACTATGAAGAATGCCGCCTTCTGGGATGTGGCGCCGTGTAGATGTTTAGTGAACCGACGTTTCGGAGGAACGGCACCACATCTCAGAAGACGGCATTCTTCATCATCCTTTTTAAACATTGCAACTATCTCCAATATCATTCGGAACAAAATGTTTGGAACGTTCACTGTACAGGCATATGCCAAATTACAGTTCCAAGAAATATGGGGGAGTCAGGACAGATCAGTCAGTATAGTGAATAGGCTACAAGCTGGAGGACAGGGAAATCGGGGTTCGATTCCTTCCGGGAGCAGGAAATTCTTCTCTTCTCCAGAATATCCAGCCCTGCTCTGGGGCCCACCCAGCATTCCATCCACTGGGTACCGTGGAGAGTTTCCCTGGAGCAAAGCGGGAGACGGGTGAAACTGACCACTGACCTCTATCTATTACAGAGTTTAAGATTGGTGGAGCTATACTTCCACGCCTCCATACGTATTCATGGAAACGTGCGTAATGAATTAAATATTTGACTTCACCTGAAGTCTCTTTCCAAAAACAGAGACACCATGTATGCGAACCAGAAGACGTAAGAAGATGCTGGATGACCTTGGGGACAGAAGAGGATATTCTCATCTGAAGGAGAAATCTCTAGATCGCATTAAGTGGAGGAACTGTTTCGGGAGAGACTGTGGACCTGTCGTCTGACAGATTACTGATGAATGAATGAATGAATGAATGAATATTAATATAGGAGGCAAAGATTAAACTTAGAGGGACCGTATAGTCAAAGGATGAGGAGACCAATATTAATATGGGCCGTTCCCAGTGCCTGTAAGTAGACTGCGGTAACGTCCTACTAAAATCTGCATCAAATTCACAGTTCTCAACTACGTGTCTTAAGTTCACTTTTGGCCACCAACTTCCCTCTTAATGTATTTGAAATTTCAGATTTGTTATGTTTCTTATGGGTTATTTTACTTTGCTGTCGGCACTCATATATACAATATACAGCATGGACTGTTAAGATGGTTGATATAAGGAACTGAAGATTAATGTATTGTGAACTGGAAAGGATGTGGACGGAAGCGGTCGTGG